CTACCAGGTATGGCAGGAGACCTCCTTGGCCAGAACGAGTTTTCTCACAGCAAGTCACATTTTGTGAACACCACTCCCAAGGGGAATTGATAACCCCACCTGGTGGGAAACCAACAATTCATTCCCTTTCCTCCCTCCTGGCCACTGTAGTCTGAGGAAGACCGGAAGAATATTCTGAGGCTCCAGGATCTGGTGGACAAGCTGCAAATGAAGGTGAAATCCTACAAGAGACAATCTGAAGAGGCTGTAAGTATCACTCCGAGTGCTTGGTGAGAAACACTTCTATGTTCATTGAGGATATGGCACTTGCAGTGCCACTGGTCAATAACATTTGGCTTCTAGATCTTTGAAATGCTTATAAATTAGTGTAGCTTTGGAGAATGAAATCAATGAGGGATGAGGAAGGCTAATGAGCAAGCTAGGTGCACAAAAATTTTTTTGTCCATTAAAAAACCAACTTTGCTGTAAGAAGGAGCTCTTATTAATAATACTGATAGTACAATACATTAATAAGTTTTTAAAAGAACACATTTTCATAATTTTGAAATTCAAATAACTATCTTTGCAAAAGATGCCTGTGACCCTTGCAATTCGGAGAAACTCAGTAGTTATGTGGAAGAAAATAACTTGACCACGCCGTTTCCCTACGGTGTCATGAGGCCTTGATGAGTTCTGGGCACCCTGCGTCAAGGATGACGTGAGGGAGGTTCTGCAGCCTGTTCTATACAGGAGGTCAGACTGAAAAAAAACAGGGGCCACATCCCCTGATGGAGAAGTTTGTGAATCTCTGCTGCTGATCGACAGCAGAATGCGTCAGGCTCTTTCTCAACTTAGTAAGTCACACTGGTGGCTGGGCAGCAAGTAGTGGGAGAATAAGTACACAAATGTCAAAACCAAGTGATGAAGCAGCTCCTCAGGAGTGACACGGTAGTGGAGGAGCTTGTCACGGTGGGATCCTGACTAAGGATGGATGAGGAGGTCTGTGCGAGGCTTATGTGTAAGCAGTGGGGGGTGGGGGGTGGAGGTCTGGGCGTTCCCACAGAGAAGAGGCGCAGGAGGAGCCCAACCCCTGCCCTGGGCTCCTCACCACCGACTCCCTCTCCCTGCACAGGAGGAGCTCTCCAACGTCAACCTCTCCAAGTTCCGCAAGATCCAGCACGAGCTGGAGGAAGCCGAGGAGCGGGCTGACATTGCAGAGTCGCAGGTCAACAAGCTGCGAGCGAAGAGTCGGGAGTTTCATAGGAAGATAGAAGAGGAAGAGTGAGGATGCCATGAGGCAGCAAAGTGACCTGAGGGTGGCACAAAATGTGAACCTCTCGGTTACTTTCTTCTGTAATTAGTCTTTGTAGCCATGTCAATGTCTAGAGAATAAAGACCGTAGATTCCTCTGCATGCACACTATGAACAGTGCCATCTTGGGTTTTGTTTTTTGTGTCAAATCTTGGGACATTGCATTGATTTTCTTGCTTTCCCTGGCTAGGGAAAAGGAGAAGCTAATGCAAACTCTGGATCGTGGACTCTCAAACTTAGAGGCTGACCACTGCTGCAGAGGATATTGATAGTGCGGCCTGTGCTCTCTTCTGTTCTCCACAAGCTCCTTGCCCTGCTCCTGCCCTCACATACCCTTAATGCTTCTCCCATTGGCCTTTCAGCACAGCTTACCACCCATGTGAGAGGCTTTTTCCTCCCCTTGCTTCTGTTTCTCATCACAAACCCTAAACATCAGTCTCCGAGTAACTTATTGGAAGTCACAGTTCACCACATCATGAAGGACTGACAGTTCCCTAGCAGATATGATTTTTGTTATGCAGTGGATTACAGCAGCATTACAACACATTGATAGTGCCCCTAAATCATGCCATCTCCCCACCTGCTCCTAGTTTCTCTGCCGGGGACAAACATTGAGCCCTGCCTGGGGCCACGCGCTGGAAGGACTGCTCCTTAGGGTCCATTTCTCACAACTGTGTGACACCAGCACCCTCCTCAATGCACGACTTCAAAGGTCAGCCTTGCCACCTCCCACACCACAGGCTGCACATGGCATTGCCTCAGGCAAGAGAAAAAAAGAAAACTCATGGGTGTATCCCTCCGTTCCTTCCATAAATAACTGTAGCTCACTTTTGGCCTGTCCACAGGCTAAGCAGACAATAAGGTTTGGGGAAGAAGGACTGGGGTAAGTTGTGAAACACTTTTTCCTTCATTCAGACAACAACATTCAGACCCTTCAGAAGCATAATAGGCAAACACAACTATGAAGCTCAAGTGCTCTATCAGCCATCTCATCTGAATTACCCTGATGCATGATGCCTTGCATCTAGTTTTGGTGAAAGACACACGGGCAGTGCCAAGGTATGTTCAAGACAAGCCCACAGATGCCTGCCTAAGCTAATATTTTCATAGAACCAACAGCTCTTGGCTTCCAAGAAACTTCTGTCCCTTATTTTCAGGGAGACCACATAGCCTTGGAGCATTTTCTCAGAAATCTTGAAGACTACCATGAATCAAACACGGCTTAGCAGTAACTGAGTGATACTAAATTAATTAAACCTTTCAGCCATATCAACTTACACAACTGCGCTCTTGCGGCACTGCCTGTCTGAAGTATTTCCTAGTCACTCCAGATGACTCCAGGCTGCAGGATCCCTTGGCGCAGACCAACATGGAGTGAATGAGAAGCGCAGCAGCAGCAACTGAGGAGTGAGTTGCAGTTGGGACTAGAAGGAAACAAGAACCAGAATCAATAGCAGAGGATAGGGTAAGTACTGACATTGAAATCTCGTGAGAGCCCACAGCTTTCCACCTCTGTCTACTGTACAAGCACTAGCATTCAGAAGCAGAGGTGGGTCCTCCGTGGAGCGTTGAGCCTAGCAGGGCCGTAAGGATGGGAGTGGGGCTGCTGGTGTGGGCTAAAGGGATGCAGGCTATGCAGAAACTGCTTGTCCCCAAGCCTGAGGCAGGCAGCCCCTGAATGCTTTCCACCTTGATTTGCTCAGAATGTTTTCAAGGGAGAACTTGCCAGTGGAGCTCCTTGAGGTGAAGGACTGACACTGTCACCTTGGTCTAAGCTCGTAGAAGTCAATGCCAGAGGCTTTGCTTCCAAACAGATGCTCACACCACTGGGAAGTGCAACCAACAGCTAAATGGCTGTACGCCTGTGACAGCAATATCCAAAGGGCTCTCATCTTACCTGTCTCTCAAGTGCTGCCTCACCAGCACACCAGCTCTCACAAGGAAGTGCAGCCTGATTCCAGTGTCACCAGCAAGCACTGGCAAGCAGACCCTCTGTCAGTGCTGTCTGAAGAGAGCAATGGGAGATAGCTCTTTAGGAGAAGACCTCAGTTTTCAATCACAAGGACTTTAAGAAAGCCACCCAACACCTTGCGGAGATGCCAAACTACTCCCCCCTTCTCATGACACTGCACAACTCTTCCCCGTGGCTCCCTAGCCGACTCCCAAGCTTGTTCATCCCTCCTCATGCCCTGCACTCTTTCTCCTTGCCTGACAGCATGCCTTGGTCTGCCACCACAGCTGGGGTCTCTTGTTGTGAGCCTTGCTTGTCTAAACCAACCTAAGAGCTGACTGCTCCTCTTAGGTGGCTTGAGAATCTCTAGCCACCCTGCATGCATCTCCAAAGCTTCAGGTGGGACTGGCTAGAGTCTACATGATTCACAACATCTGTGTGTATCCATGTTAGCTGTAAGGGCTTGCACATGCATCAGCTCCTGAGACTCTCTGAAATCCTGCTTTACAGGCCCCACACCATCCTTTGCCTCCACCATTGCCTCCACCATGGAAGCCTGAGAATGTGTCATGAGAATAAAGGAATGCAGCCAGCAAAGCCAGGCATAGGGAAGAGAGAAGGCGGCAGGCGTGAAGAGGAGTGAGCGGGCTGATGGCTCCTGGCCACACTGGTGAGTGGGATTTTTGCAAAAGAACTGTCCCAGAGGGCATCCGTGGGAAAGCACAGGCAAGTCACTGAAGAATAAGCTCTTGCCTCACATGTATAATTGTCTCGGTTTTGACCTACTGTAGCTTGCTTTAGACTCTGTTTTGCCAAGTCAACTGGTTCTTTTTCTAGCCTCCTGCATCTTCCCCTTGCACGCCGTTACACACCTCTGCTATCTCTCTAGGTCTCACGGGTGCCGTCCAAAATAAAGCAGGCAGCCGTGAGCCCTAAGCTGGGGGACCCGTGCACAGCCTCAGGCAGGACTTGCCATCAGCACGGCGGGCCGTGTGATGGGACTGAGGCCCGGCCTTGCGTCCCCCCCAAGTTCACAGCTCCCTCCAGGCCCCCGCCTCCTGGGCTCTGAGGTCCCACCAAATTGCCCAGCAGCCTTCACAGGAGTCATTCCCAGATGAGGAGGGCACAAGGGCGCAGGGAGCTTTGGGGGTTGCCCGTGACAGGAGGATCAGGCCGTCATTTGTCTCCCTTCATCCTCGCTGTCAGAAGCTCAAAATAGCCCCGCTCCTGCAAGACTCCTGTGCGGGGTCACGCCTGTTTGTGTAGATGATACGCTTCCACTAATAGCGCTCGAAGACATTCCTCGGCGGGTAGGTTGCCTTCTATATCTCAGCGCAACGTGCTCCCATGTAGGAGCTGGACAACTGTGTTGTGTCCTAAGACGGCAGATGCTATTCTTACCCCAGAGAGCCTTGCTCCGGCACAGCTCCTTTCTCAGCTGAAATGTTAAAAGTCAGAAGCAGGCCCGAGTGTGCTCTCCCTGGAAAGAGCATCAATCAAGAGTGGCCCCTTTGATGCCCGTGCAATGACACTGTGCCAAGCCAGCGCCTGGGTGCTCGCCGTGGCCTCCTGGGACGTGCTGTCCCATGGGGAACACAGCAGCTGCCCAGGTACTTCCAGCATTTGGCTGGGGCTCATTTTGGGGTGCAGGGGTTGTCACTTCTCTTGGGCACCAGCAACTGGAAAAGGTGGGCTGGGCTGTAGCTCTGAAAGTGCATGATTTTAAAACTGCCTCCCACTGAGTCACTGTCTGCATGAGGATGAAGCTGGAGAAGGGCTTGCTCAGAGGTTCAGCAGCATTGCAGAAGGCCATGTCCCTTTGCTAAGGCTGTGCTTTCACAGCACTCACTGAGGAATGGTAGTAGGGCTGTCCTCCAGAGACCCCTCAAGAGCCACCAGAGCATCAGATCTGCAGAAGAACCCCTGACCAGGCCGGTGGCTACTGTGTGATGGCTGTGGAGACACAGCTCTACCTGCAGCCTGATTCCACGAGCCCTTTGGAGAACTCAGTAAAGCCAGCGTCACTGCCTGGAACAGTCACCACAGGCAATCAGCAGAGGAAAGCAAGGTGCAGAGACATCACTTGGGACGGTGGCCGTACCTTTCACCTTGCCACTTAGAATTGCCGCTTAGAATCTTGTTCAAAGGACAGAAGCTCCATCAGCTTTCTTCTGGCTTGGGACTCCAGCAGGTTCCTGTCAGTCCCAGGGAGCTCAGCCAGGCAGCAGCTGACCGGGCCCACGGCTCAAGGCACCCGTTGCCAGGTGGGGGCAGCATGGAGCCATCGAGGTGGACCCTCCTCTGGGTGGCCGGCCTGAGACCGACCTGCCAAGAAGTCTCACTTTAAAATGGGTGCTTTTAAAACTGCTGAAACTGCCTGGCCCACATGTTATCAGTGAATCACACCAGATGGGTTAAACTTCAACCAGGTGGGTCAGCCAGAATCAGGTGTTCACCACTGGGGAAGCACAAAGACAGGTGGAATGTGCCGAAGAAGGACTGGAAATGCTAGGGTCATGAATGCTGAAAGATGAGACCCTGAGCTGACAGAAGCATCCAGTGGTCAGTGTGCAGGCCCTCGTTTGCAGGGGCACATAAAGGGCACCACAGAGGTGCTTGGAAGTGTTTGACTATTGAAAGACCAACACGAAAAATCAATGGCCCTGCCAACTCCACTGGTAGAACAGTCTAAGGAGAGCGACTGCAGCACCTCTTTTGACAGCTGTGATCTGGCTGGACCTTCACAATGCAGGTACCAGGAGAGGCCCAGGGCCCTGGATCAGCCTCACTCATCTTGGGATGGCCATGAGATCCAGCCTCCACAGATGAGGACCTCCTAAACTCTTAGGCCAGCAAGGGTGAGCCAGCAAGACCTTTGCAGCCTAAAGTGTAGATGAGTCATTCCCATGCTCTGCCTTTATGCTGGCACAACCACATGAGTAAGCAGAGTATTCTTCCCCATGAAGTGGATGTGAAAATGGCACTGTGAACACAAGCAAAGCCCACCTTCACTGTTCACACACAAAAGCAGAGCAGGGCTACAGTGGGAAGGAGAACTCCTGCCCCTCATCTCCCTCATCTCCTGTCCTGAGGTTTGCCCTTGCAGAGGAAGCCCGGAGCTGGGGTGGGAGCAAACCCCTTTCCCTCTTGGACATGTCAGCAGCATCGG